TTAAAAAAATAATTTTAAAATATGAAGTATTATTGATAAAATATAAAACAAAAGATGTCTCAGGAACAATAGTTTTAATATACGACTAAGAAAATTCGTTACTATAAATGTTAATATTTGTTAATATTTTCGATAAAGCATTACTTTTTTTTGCCAAAAATATTAATATTGGGCGCTACCTAAAATATTTAACATTTTCGTTGAATTGCTACCTAAAATATTATTTTTTTCTACCATAAATGTTAATATTATATTTTACCTTAAATTAATTAGCGAAAATAACATTTCTGATAAAAAAAATATTTTAATTAGTGTTTTACCATAAATGTTAATAAAATATTAACATTTCCGATAAAACTTTTATTTAACCGGATATTAAAACTGCCTAATAACAGAACTAGTCTATAAAACAAAAAAACAATGGAATTGTTTGATTACTTTTAGATGAGGATGTCCGGGAAGTTTTACAGTGCGACACATTTAATATATAATTAAAAAAAGACGTTATTGGTTTTGTGATTATTTAAATAACAAAATCGGTAAAAAAAAGTACCTAAAATATTATTATTTCTACCTAAAACATCAATGTTTTTTAATATTTCCGATAAAATGCTCAACAATAACAAAACGTAGTGTTTTACCGATTTTATTAACAAAATCGATAAAACGTCCAATAATAACAAAATCAATAGAAATAATAATGTTTTCGATAATTTTTTATTATTTTATTATTTAAATAATAACAAAATCGTTAACACTTTATTTTAACCTTATATTAATACTGTCACGTGATCATTTGTAGGTGATGCCCATCCATTTTAGCCATTGAAGTACCGGCGTGTAACTGAACCACGTCCCTTGCGGACAGGTGGTTTTTTGCTATCGAAGCAGCAATTGGGAGCGGCTACTTTTTTGCTCTTATTCAAATCCACACGGCAGCCTGTTCAACACGTGGTTTTCGTTTGCTGAAATCCCTTTTTTGTTGTGGGCTCCTGCGGTGGGACCCATACTCCTGAGATTTCGAAGTCGAAATCAGAATCACTGAGATTGAAGTGAACCCACAACTTCCCCCATGCATCACGCAACACTTGTCCTTCTTCCTTACACGTGGCTCCGGCATGTATCGTACCTGATATTTGGTTTATCGCAGCCGCCACCCGAGCTCCCATCCGGCCATGTATTTGACCTTCTTGATGCTCTATCGCCTTAACTTCTTAAATACAAAGAAATCAGATATTTATAATCCATTATTATTACATTTTAAATTTTTATCATACATTCTTTTGTTCGATTTTATCAAACTCAAATTACAATAATAAAATTAGTGATAACATTTGTAATAAAATTTAACAATAAGATTAATTTAATAATTAAAACAAGACAATATCTAAAATATAATGATTAATGATATAATTTATATAAAATATTCAAAATATATTCAAAAGTCATAATTATACTGTTTATCTTCTTAAATCCTAAAAACCAATTTTATTTTTTATAAGAGTTGATTAAATAAATTTAAAGTAAAAAAAATAGTGATTTAATAACTAACTATCTAGGCACTTGACTTTTCTAGTTTTCTTATTTTTCTCAGAGCATTTTTTTATAAATATGTTGAAATAAAAAAATATCTATCAACTAATATAAGCAAATGGCTCCAAAACATTTAATATTAAAGAACAAACAAAAAACCCATCGAAAAAATTATAAGAACGTATTAAAATTCTCTTTTTCTTCATGGTATTTAAAATTTTCCAATCTATTTACTAAAAAGGTAAAAGAAAACGCATTATTAATGTAGTGCTAATAACCGGGGATGGACCTAGAACGAGGCGGGTAAGAATAATTGTTTCCCTTAAAATTTTATAAGTTAGTTCCTCTTAACACAAAATTCTACATCCGTCCTTGATAGTAACCTTAATTAAACTGAATGTGAAAAATACATTTTTGACTTATGAGTTAGAAGAATTTTTCCTATATAAAGATGATACATCGAAAAAATAGGTGAAAGAAATAAATTATATAAAAATATATTTAAAATAGATTAAGTTTGTTTTATTCAGTATATGATAATAAAAAATAATATTTTCTATAAGAATAAGTATAATGCATCACACATATCGATATGTACCACTAACGACATACATCAATATGTACCACTAACGTTATATATTAGGGTAAATTCATAAATGATCATTAAATTTTGTTAAAATAATTTTATTTGTTATTGGGTTTTTAAAAGTTACAAAATAAATATTAAATATTAAATTTTGTTAAAAATTGGGTACCAAACATTAAATGTTATTAAGGAGATGACAGATCATGCTAATTTAATAAAAAAAATCTTATTTAACCCTTCAATTATCATTAAAATTTCATTTTGAGATATATATATATATATTAATAATTATTTAAAAAATTCATATTTTTAAAAAATATATGATAATAATTTATTTTTTAAATTTTTTAAAAAGTATTATTTTCTAAAAAAAAATAAAATTTTATGCAAATTTTTAGTTAATCAAATTTGCCTAAATACTCGAAATAGTCCTTAATTTTTAATAACATATCAAATAATTTATATGATACAAACTTAATATCTATAATATGACAATAAAATATAATATTTATTTTATTTACATTTATTTCATTTTCAATTCAACGAACTTAATAAAATTACTTTAATTAAAATTAACAGTAATTTAAAATTCTAATTACAATTGAATAATACAAAAAAATCATTAATTTAACATGGCACATTAACTATTCAATAACAATTGGTGTTATTATCTTATTTTGCAATGAAATTTAGAGTTCAATATCTATTGTAGAAGTCTATAAGTTTAATATCTAAAATAAGTTTATTTTTTATATAATTAAATGATTATTTATAAATTTGATCTTATTAAATTAGTGATAGAAGAACTTTCTTTTATAATAATAATAGAGAGGTTGGCGGTAGAGAGACATGTGTTCCCTTCTGTTTGTTGGGATTGGAGAAATCAATTCAAACTTCTTTTTATGACAACACGGGTCCTAAACCTAACCATGTCCTCGGTAGATGCTAGATATTGAAATAATATCCTAAAATTTTATGGGTCGTTCATATAAAAATCCCTTCGGATCAAGATGGGCCGCTACATTATAGTTAATGTAGATTTGCAACAGTTCGGGATTTCTCTTTCCCGAATTTTGGAGTGAATGCTACGTAGGGATGATAAACGGGTAGGTCGGATACGGATATCCTATCCCTCATCCCTATACTTACATACTATTTTTTAATTTATCATCCGCCCACCACTCATGATGAGTATAAATTTTTAAATCTATACCCGCCTATGCGGGTACATTTTCAAATCCATCCCCACACCCACTACCCACTAGCGACATAATCATCTAGACCCGCCTAACAACAAACTAATGAGATGTTAGAGTTGGTTCCCAGACAGTTCGTGATGGGGTAGCAGCGCATGCTTCAATTTGTCAGAGGAGTTGCTCTACGAATGTTATGGAGACAGATTGTAGGGAGCATGTAGTCGCAGAGCTGGATTGTTGTGTTGCTTTCGATGTTAATGCTCATAGTGCGTCTAATATGGGGTTTGAGGGGCTAAAGAACATGGAAATTGGTGCTTTTGATGTTAATGCTTATAGTACGACTAATTTGTGTTTGGATGGGCAGCATGAGCTAAAGAACATGGAAAGTGACGTGGTTAGTGGGATTATTAGTTTAATCAGAGAGCTGAATATTTCCCTAATTTAGTACCAGATTAAAGACTAAATATCCTTAATATTTAATTAAATTATATGTTATATATTATATAATATTAAAATTTATAAATTAGTCTCTAAAATTACACCTAAATTCATAATGGTCCAAAATTTAATAGATATTTAGCTGGGAGGGCGGATGTGGGGCGGACGGATGTGGGGTAGGTAATGTCTCAAACCCATTACCCGTCCACCACCCACGACGGATACCACTTTATAAATCCACACCCGCCCACTACCCGTTAAAATTATACCCATCTCCACTCCAATTGGAGCGGATGCGGTGCGAAATCCACGAAACTGTACCCGTTTGCCATCCCTTATGCTACGTGTGATGAGTTGATGCATTATGTCACGCGGTTAGAATTTTACTAGTCTATTCGTGTGATACTTAGATGATTTTTAGGTTGAAATGACGCCTAAATCAGTTTTAACTACGTCTTTGTGAGTCTCTAGCTCACTAAGAGACGAATAAACCCATTAGAATTAGGCAACAATGTGGAAGCAAAACATCACTTGGGTTAATCTAAGCCTCCAAGGTTAAACGAATCTAAGAAGCACGAGCACTATGGGAACTTCCTAAGTTACCACGACTTGAACCACTTTGTAACTTCGAAAGAAGTCATAAAAGAACTACTCTCAAGGCTATCTTAACCCTCACGTTCGACAACACAAACCACAAAGGTTTCAACACGAAGAGGAATAAGCCGACAAGACTAGAAAGCTAGAAATAAAGGAACTCAGAGAGAAAGTAAGAGTAAATGCCCGAGTTTATTATTCTGAAAATCTGATGGTCTAGATCAAAATACATCGACGACTTAGATTGAATCATACCTTATAAAAACTCTATCTTTAAGACATTTGAATTCAAATACAACATCATCCCTAATTAAGTATTTATCCCATTAATTATTAGATAATATTATCTTTTATAAAACCTTTCAAGGAACGATCCAGGTCTGAAGATTATGGGTATTCATGAGCCTTGACAAAAATACCCCCATCGAACATGTAATACTCTCGTCACTTTTCTCGGACTTAATCGTTCATGGACTCGTAAGCAAACTGGATCAACTGATTATACCTAACAAGCCCAAATATGCGCACATACAACTTACGTTAATGTCCATGGACCTAAAAATTTAGTCGATGACAATTATCAGCAATACAATGACGTGTAAAGATGGCTCCGTTCCATGGAATATAAGTATCGGAATCATGAGAAAAGCCTGGTTGGTTAACACACACACAAAGTTTTGAGAGAGATAAGACACTAGAGAAGATCCGTGATGAAGGTGGAGATGAATTTGGTCGACAAATCCAACAATACGGTTCAAGCTCCGTCGAACGGTGAATCTGAGAACATTTCAGCGTCTACTTTGTCTTCTCTTTTTGCTTCTAAAGATCGAGATTATCTTCTGGCCTCCTCTACTGGATCTGATCAGGTTAACTTTCTTTCTTATTTTACTTTTTGAGGATGGAATCATATCTGCTAACAATATATCTCTTGTGGACGTTTTAGCGAGCACTGATAACCGGTTTACTCATGTGTTGTTTGACCTGTTGCTGAAGCATTTGTTTCTTTATCGTCTTCATTATCTATTATTTTAGTTGTGGGTCAGAGATGATAAGCATGCACTCGCTTGTGCCTCACTCACTCATGGCTTCAGTGCAATCATTATATGCCAAAACCTTTGTGCTTAGATCGGCTTCGTTTCAAATCTTTTTCTTTCTTCTCTACCAACATCGATACTGAAACTACATAGTACGGGCAGCTTCCAATAGTCGAACCTTCTGGAACTATTATTATTTGGTAGCAACTGCTGGAAATACCAGACAGACGGCCGTTTGTTGGTAAGTTGGTCGGTTTGCTTCGAGACGAAAATATAGAATTTCTACAATAATCGACCTTCTACAGTATTCGTATTATAAATAACATTTTGTCTTAATTAAGGAGAGGGAGGGGAAAGTTCATTAGGGTTTTGAAATGACAAGAACTCACCGGGTAGGCATCTATTACTCTTTATTCGGGGCGGTCTATTGTTTGTTTCTTTAATGTTGGCATGTTTTGCTCTCTTGATACCAAATATCCTCATTGAATTCTTTGGTTAATTTTAATGTCCGACAATAGAGTATTTGAGTTCATATGAACAAGAGAGCCCAAGAAATTTCCTGGTCAGCACAAGTTTTTGCTTCTTAGTGCTAATTTAATGCTTGCCTTCCCTAATTGTTATGCACTATCAGACTTTGATATGATACACATCTGATATATGTTTAGAATACTTAAAAAGAGAAAACATTTTTGATTAATCCGGGATTTAAGAATTGAACGACTTCAAAAGATGCATGATGTAAATGTGTGATCCTCCTGTCGGCTATCATACATTACCTCGACCAAAATTGATGGTGAAGAAGCATTCTCCTTGGGGTTCTTGTCGTGGTTAGGGTGCCCTTGTGGGGAAGGGAATAGAGGCCCACCCCATCCACGCCCCTTTTGTCCTACTGGAATAGGATAGTGGGGGTGCAATGTGATACCTCATCTGTCACGAGCAACAAATGCCAAATATGCCTGTCCTCGTCAAAGGGTACCCTTTCAACATTGCGGTTGAGCTGTGAACAACTAAGCTGATAGGACATGTGGCATATATACTATCCTCACAGTACAACAAAACTTTGGGGCTTGTACTTATGCCATTTTCTTTGTTAGTTTGCTATCGTTAATTTCAAATGCATTTTGCTTACATGAAATATAGTGCTACTTTGTTGTGGCTCCAATTAACTTTTCACGTTTACTTGATTCCTTTCTAGCAGGTGAAAATTTCTGATCTTGAGGGCATGGTGATTGGGATTTACTTCTCAGCCAACTGGTTTCCACCATGTAGAAATTTCAACCGAGTGTTGATCGGTGTCTATGAGCAGCTTAAGAGCAATGGCTCAAATTTCGAGATTGTTTTCGTGTCATCTGACGAAGACTTGGATGCCTTCAACCGTTACCGCCAAAGCATGCCGTGGCTTTCAATTCCATTCTCTGATTTGGAGACAAAGAAGGCATTGAATAAAAAATATGAAGTTGAAAGCATTCCTTGCTTAGTCATTTTGCAGCCTGAAGATACCAAGGGCGATGCAACTTTCTATGATGGCGTAGAACTCGTTTATCGAAACGGGGTCGACGCCTTCCCATTTACCAAAGAAAAGTTGGAGGAATTGCGAAGGGAAGAGAAGAGGAAGCATGACAGTCAAACCGTGACCAGTTTATTAACAAACCCGGACAGAGACTATCTTTTGGACAAAACCATAACTAGAAAGGTCAGTGCTTAAAATGTTGACAATAGAGCTTCGATTTTATGTTCTTGCTGTTAATATTGCTGATTGCAGGTGCCAGTTGATTCATTGATCGGTAAAACAATTGGGCTTTACCTCTCAGCGCAATGGTGCTTGCCATGCGTCGAGTTCACTCCCAAACTGGTATCCATCTACCAGAAGATCAAGCAAATTTTGGAAGAAAAATATGGTGAGGGTTTTGAAATCGTTTTCGTGTCAAACGATCGTGATCATAATTCGTTCGAATCATACTTCGGTACGATGCCATGGCTGGCGTTGCCTTTTGGAGACCCGACTGTTAGAAGCCTTGCCAAATACTTTGATGTGCAATGGATTCCTTGTTTGATAATAATAGGCCCCGACGGTAAAACTGTAACCAAGCAAGGCAGAAACCTTATAAATCTGTACCACGAAAATGCATACCCTTTCACCGATACCAAAGTGGAGTCATTGGAGAAAGAAATTGAGGAGGAGGCGAAGAGCTTACCAAGAAGTGAATACCATGCCGGCCACCGCCATGAGCTTACTTTGGTATCTGAAGGCAGTGGAGGAGGACCCTTTATATGCTGCGATTGTGATGAGCAGGGATCTGGCTGGGCTTACCAGTGTCTGGAGTGTGGCTACGAGGTACACCCAAGGTGCATTAGAGCTGTCACTCCTCGAAGCTCAATTGAAGACAGGTGACACTCGGCTCAGCTGGCGTTTATCCTAATTAAACTTTGATTAATTTGCCATCATTTATGATGTTTATATACAATAAAAATGATGACATGTTATATTATTATAGCTAAAGTCATGAACATTAGTTTACGGTAACAGACAAAATGTGTGCTCTATCTAAGCATTGTTCTCGTGTTGTTTCTCTTTCTTCTTTGGTCACTTAAATCAACTTTTTCAATAGAATAACACTTGAAATTTTAAAACCAGTCAAAAGGAATTTTATTAATAATAAATCAAGTTACAATCTTTGGATAAATCATTTGATCCAAGGATCACATGAATTTGATATTGGATGAACGGTTTTTCTTGAAGAATCATTGAGACTTAAGTTTAAATCAATGAATTTCGATTCAAGAGATGTTTTGAGCCTGATTTTGGGTTTTATATTGATCTAGGCCAGGTTGGTTGGCCCAAAGTAAATTTAGTGCACGCGATGGCTGATAGTCATCAACCTGCAAATTAAATTTAGACTTTGCTTCGTATCTTCCCACATGAACTTCTGAGTCATATACCTTGCAAAGAGACTTGACTGGTATTACAGTATCAAGATGCAACAAGCTGAGCTTCTGATGGAGCACGTCTGTCCTCTTATTTAGACCATGTTATTTTTCATTTGAATCAAATTGCCAAAGAGATTGTTTCACCGAATCATTGCCTTTGCTGCATGCTCTCAGCCAAAACCAACCTCGGAGAATGGTTTATCTACTACGGCCCCACGATTATTCTAGTTGTAAGTATTCCTTGTTTTCTATTGAGAAGCATTAAAGCTTTTCCAAGAAAATTATTTTTGCATTTCAAACTGGCTGCTAAGAGTTTTATTTTCCTTTTTTTTTTAATTTGAAGGTGGCTGCTATGAGTTGAATTGCCAGGAAAAAGACGGGAGTTTGGTTAAAGTAGTTGTGATTTATATAGCCTTTTCCTTTTCCCCATGGGTTGGCTGCATTGGCTGCAAGACCGCTACTCAGCACTTTCCAAGACCGAGCCGGCTTGAAGTTTATACAATATGTTTAAAAAATGAATGTAGGAAAATGGGCATAGTACAAGCTATCAAAACTATATTCATTAAGAGCTGCAGCTACTATGTACAAAATTCAAATTCCTTGTATGATTTCGGTGTCTGTCCTCGTGTCTCGTTTAATTGCAATGAATTGAAACTTTGTGAGCAAGAATCAAATTAATACCAATTGTCTCCTGCATAAAGGGCAATATTTGTGGTCTACTAACCACTGTTGAATACAGGAGTTATGAAACATATGGCGACATTGTGGCAAGCTATGGAATATTTCTCCCGGTGTGAAGTCCTGGAAACAAGAGTGTTCAAATGAAGTTTAGACCAACACTCCAAACTCGCAGGAAAAATTGGCTAATCATATTGCAGTAAACGACAGAAGAGAAAACCTCGAGGCAAATCGAACAAGAGATTCTGTTCCTGAATGAATCCCATACGTTATCTTCGGTGATTCTCATCTTTGGGATTTTTGCTATTGAGTCCTTTGGCAGCCCTTCATTCCATACGACTTGGTCCAGTGTAGATTCAAATGCATTTACCTAATAAAACAGATGAACATATATTCAAGCATTGGAATTTAAAAAAAAAAAAATCCATTTTTTCTCCTCTTTTTGCTTCATAGACAGTCGAGCCATTTTCGTTACATAATTCGAGTCGATCGTGCCAATCGTTGTTGTTGGATTAGACTGGTATCTGGATGGTTGGTTCACGATGACCCATTTCCCACTTTCTAACTTTAAACAGGGTTCACAAAAGAAAAGAAAAAGAAACGTGTTGCACATGAAAGGGTTTTGAGACTGGGTTTGACGTGGCCCAAATGTGTTGTGCATGGGCAGACCGGAGATGTAATAACCTTACCGATCGCAGGAGATACATCGTCGCCATATCATCTTCAGAACTGCAAACTCTGACTGAAATTTTGAAGAGATTGACGGAGAAAAAGCCGCCCTTTATGGCTCCAACCACGGCTCCTTGAACACAACCCATCTTCGTTTTCGTCCCAACAAAAGCTCCAGTCAGGACTCCTAAAGTTGCTCCCACTACAGATAAACGCCAAATTCTGGTTAATAATGGATTCCAAACGAAAACCACTTCATAGTTTTGTAGCAGAGATTCTCAACGAAAAAAAAATCGTATTTTTAATCGAAAATAGAACTAACCCACAGCAAATATAAAGATAAAGATTGCATAGAACAGTTTGATTATAAGTGCTGAAGCTGCTGAGCAGCACAACTCCCTTGCCTCTTCAACTGGAAAATTACAGGACATGATAAAAGGAGGAGAAAAGTAGATGCTAAGATCCATTTGGGAGAAGAACAACACAACGGATTAATTAAGAAGGAAAAGTGGGTAAGTAACTGAAAACAAGGCAAGCAACACAAGACACCCACAGTTCGATAGTGTCCGAAATTGAATCTCTGATTTCGTCGTGTGCACGGTTAGGAAGCAGGTAGGAAATTTTCAATCCAACTAATCTCCATTTCATGTGAAGGGAAGACATCATAGTTATTGGTCAAAGTCGTCGACTATGAAATCCAAGCTTTATTAAACTAACTAAGCAAAATGACGATAGCTCAGATTCTAAAGTTTTGGATTTTTTAAAGAATTAATATTTATATAATTTTAAAAGATTAGTATTATGATTATTTTATTTAGATAAATATATATTTATAAAAAAATTAAAATTGGTTATTGAACTTTCATGAATCAAAATATATGATAAAGTACACAAATAGTCTCCTAACTATAAGATATTATTTTATCGAGTCTCCCGATTATTAAAAGTTATAAAATAGTCCTCTGATTATAGAGAGTTACTTTGTTGAGTCTCTCGATTATGAAAATTTACAAAAGAGTCACCTGATTATTCATTATGTTTCAAACTTGTCATTTTCCATTAAAAATTAACGTTCATCTGAGCTAAACATTAACACACGGATTAAGATATAATAGTCATTTGAGATTATGAGATCATATTTTATCATATCTCAGTCAATAAGTTAGCGTTCACCTCATATTGTAGTTATTTTTTCAAAGGAAAATAACGAGTTTGGAACATAATGAATAGTCAAGTCATAGATGATCATTTTGTAGCTTTTAATAGTTCAGGGACTCAACAAAGCAACTCTCCATAGTTGATAGATCATTTTATAACTTTTAATAGTTAGAGACTTAATATAGCAATATCCTATAGTTAGGGGACCATTTATGTACTTTACCCTAAAATATATTCAATATGGACAACGTTAAAAGTCATCCCTAATCATAAGTAAACATACAAATAAAAAGGTTATCTTTTTAGTTTAAGAAGTTCCCAATTGGTGGGAGAGTCATAGATAAATATCATTAAGGTCAGCCAGTAATTTCTTGAGAGGAGCAATGATTCATGTTGGGGTTAATTTAAATTAATTTTAATACGAATTTTATTTGAAATGTTTGAAATTAGATTAAGTTTAAAGATGATCCATCTTATCTCACTCTATTTTTTTTAAAATATATTATATATTATTCAATATATTAAAAATATCATATCAAAGTTTAAAAAATTTAAAAATCGATTTGTCCTGGTATTAAAAAGTTTAAAATATAATTAAATGGGAGTATTTGTAAATAGTTGTGATTTATTATTATTATTATTATTATTATTATTATTGATACAATAAATGTTAAAATACTAGTGGCTGAAGATTAGGTGTAGGCTTAGAACCCAAAAAGCCCTATTGGGGTATCTTTGGGCTTAGAGGAATTTTCTTACAGATGGGAAATGGTCAGAAGAATCTGATGAAAGCATGAAACGCGTAAGATTGCTTTTAAGTTTCAGACAATGGAAGTATGCTTCAAACACTCTTTAACACATCAAAAGCAAACTTTTCCTTTTTAACCTATTCATCTTCCTGTTCCGTTTTTATTTATTTCCTGCCGCTCCTGTGTCTCTCCTTCACCGCAAACCGAAGCAAACCACAGCTGGTGGTCAAGGGAATGATACAAAAGGAAAGGTCGAGGGAATGATACTCGGGCAAAGCAAAGCACAAAATTAACATTTAATAAAGCATTAGTGTGTAACCAGCACTGCTCTGGATGCTCTTTCAACAAATCTTAAACATCCACTCAGACAAAACCGATTCCTCTGTTTTCCTTCCCTGCCATCTATGGGACTCTGCCAGTCTCTCTGCTGCGGCGGCTTCACAAGATCCCAGTCTCATCAAATCCCAATCTCTTCCGATTCTGCTCCTCCCCCGTATCCACCATTGCAAACCTCAGCCTCCCGGAACCAAAATCCTTCATCTTCCCAGGCCGGGACCATTTTGCTCAAACCATATGTCGATATCACCACCCTTTATGACCTCGACAGAGAGTTGGGGAGAGGTCAGTTCGGCATCACTTACCTTTGCACCGAAAAGGCCACGACACGAAGATACGCCTGCAAGTCTATTTCCAGGCGTAAGCTAATCACTGACAAGGACGTGGAGGATGTTAGAAGAGAGATTTCGATACTACAGCATCTGACCGGGCAACCCAATATCGTGGAGTTCAAAGGTGCTTATGAAGACAGACATAATCTGCATTTGGTGATGGAGTTGTGTTCGGGTGGCGAGCTTTTTGATCGAATCATATCCAAGGGGAGTTACTCGGAACGTCAAGCGTCTTCGATTTGTAGGCAGATTGTGAATGTGGTGCATGCCTGTCATTTTATGGGGGTTATGCATAGGGACTTGAAACCTGAGAATTTCTTGATGGTTAGTAAGGATGAGAATTCTCCAATAAAGGCCACTGATTTTGGACTCTCTGTCTTCATTGAGGAAGGTTAGCTTCTCTTCTCTTTGATTTCTTTTGCTTTCAAATCCTGGATGATATCATATTCATAGCTTAATCAAAGTCCAAGAGTTTTCATATTATATTGTGATTTTTGTTTTTTAAATTTTGGTTATACCCAAGTTTTAGTTGTACATAAAATAGCTAGAATCAAATCCCATGAGAGATAGATTTCCCCCCTCCCCCCCCAATATTTCTGCATAGTAAACTAGAGGCTTAAAGCAATTGGAGCTCGAAGCGCGCTCTACACGTTATTCTTTCTAGATATAATCATGGGTCAAGCAGGCCAAGTCAATGAAGAAAGGGACCGGTCAACTAAGTCAATGATCATTTTTCAATTTTTACTTTATAACAGAGCCTAAAACAAGGCTAATTGGACGTGGTGGGTTCATGCATCAGGGTTAATTACGTCCAAAATACTATACATGTTGCTGTGACAGTGAAAGCACTCATTAAAGGAGTGGTGGACGTGGACGTTAGAGTTGGGACACACCGAAAGAGCTGCTTTTGGCTTTTAGTTAATATCAAATCAGACAATGCAATCGCAGTTGTTAGTGTCTAAAGTAGGGTTTTTAAGTAGTCGGTTAAGCTCACTGTGTAGTTTCAAATTTCTAGGTAAACTGGAGACGGTCTTTACTAGGAGGTTATTGCCATTGAACCATCAGGATTTAATCCAAAAAGTGATACAAATCTGGGTAAAGTTTAATTATGAAAATGAAACGTATGTTGGACCTGACGGCATGTGCATATATTGATCTATTTGCTCAACATTTTTCTCAATTACTTAAATTATACTTACTGTCTCAGGTAGAATGTATAGGGACCTTGTTGGAAGTGCATATTATGTTGCTCCGGAGGTTTTACAGCGGAGATATGGCAAAGAAATAGATGTGTGGAGTGCTGGAGTCATTTTGTACATTCTTCTTAGTGGAGTGCCTCCATTTTGGGGTGGTATGGAGTCCAGTTTATTTAAAACTTTTACCTGAATTTGCTTTCGGTTCTGATATCTTTTCATCTGTTAATGAATAATTCTTTTTGTTGCAGAGACTGAGAAAGAGATCTTTAAAGCAGTTTCGGAAGGTAATCTCGACTTAGAAAGCCAGCCATGGCCATCCATATCTGATGCTGCAAAGGACCTCATCAGGAAGATGCTGGCAAGGGATCCTAAGAAACGAATTACAGCTGCTCAAGCTCTAGGTAAAGAAAAAGAAAAATTGGATCGTCTGCATTGAATATCTCATTCGTTATTAATAGAAAACATGGTTGGATAATGTGTGTGCCATTAATGTTTTTGATTTTGTGTTTGAACCAGAACATCCATGGATGAAGGAGGGTGGTGATGCATCAGATAAACCTATTGATTGCGCTGTTCTTAGCAGGTTGAAGCAGTTCAGAGTAATGAACAAGCTCAAAAAACTTGCCTTGAAGGTACCATCTAATGCTTCTGTTTTTTCACTCATTTGTGTATATGATGTACATGTACGTGGTGCTGTTATTTCTTTCGTCAATTATATTAACTCATCTGAAATTTTAATCGCCGGAAGGTGATAGCAGAAAACCTATCCTCCGAAGAAGAGATCAAGGGCTTAAAACAAATGTTCAACAACATCGACACAGACGGAAGTGGTACAATAACACCTGAAGAACTAAGGGTTGGATTAGCTCGATTAGGATCTAAGCTAACCGAACCAGAAATAAAGCAGCTTATGGATGCTGTAAGACTTATTTACTTACTGTAACAAAGCTCGACAACTACCAACTTTTCTGAATGTTCAACTTCATTGTATCAGGCCGATGTGGACAAGAATGGAAGCATAGATTACATTGAATTCGTCACTGCTACGATGCATCGACATAAGCTTGAGAGGGAAGATAACATACACAAGGCTTTTCAGTTCTTTGACAAGGATAGCAGTGGGTTAGTGTATTCAAAACCACTCTTCCTACGATTCTAAATCAGAATGAAACTAGTTTTTTCTCATTCAGGTTTATCACGAGAGATGAGTTGAGGCAAGCAATGACCCAGTATGGAATGGGAGATGAGGCTACCATAGATGAAGTCATTGAGGATGTCGATACCGATAAGGTAAATCTCTTCTTGTTCATTGATGAATTTTCGTCTTCCTTTGCCGATGGTATTGGAGAAATGAGTCGTTTGATTCTGTAGGATGGGAGAATCAATTATGAGGAGTTTGTAGCCATGATGAGAAGGGGAACTCAAGACTGGGATAGTATGTGAAAGATGAGCCGAGTGAAGTGCTTACAGCTTGTGGAACTTGGGGGAATTTAGATCTTCCTGTTGGCCACTCCAACATCTGTGTTCAACACCAATTACAACATCATCTTCATCATTCCATTCCATGGAGTCTACCTTTGCTTTTGTGTATAAATAAAAATGGCATCTCGAATTTCTCAACAAAAGTGTGAAAAAATGTAAATAAAAAGAGGAAAGAGGGGTTTCCTCCCTCCTCCGTATCAACTACTCTTAATAATATGGAGAAATGTCAATATCAGAGTTGAGAGACACTGTTTTTCTTTCTCACCATGCTAAAGTTTGATTTCGTCTAGCAATAATATGTATGTAATTTCTTTATCTAATCTTAAATTCAATTCTTCTTAAGAACTATTTTTTTTCAGATTTTCAAATGAAAATAATATATTTTTTTCCTCAAAAATTAAGGGTAAAGTATATAAATGGTTCTCCGACTATATGACGTTGCTTTGTCGAGTCCTTCGATTATTAAAAATTATAAAATGATCCTTTGACTATAGGGAGTTGCTTTGTTGAGTCTCGTTGCTATTAAAAGTTACAAAATGATCACCCGACTATTAATTATGTTTCAAATTCATCTTTTTATGTTAAAAAATTGATGACAGTCTGAGTTAAATGTTAACCTGATGACTGAGATATGATAAAATATGATATCATAATCTCAAACGACTATCATATTTTAGTCGGCATGTTAATGTCCAACTCAAACGATTATTAATTTTTAACGAAAAAGGACGAGTTTGGAACAGAATGAATAGTCGGATGACAATTTATAACTTTTAATAGTCGAAAGACTCAATAAAACAATTTCCTATAATTGAAAGATCATTTTGTGAGTTTTAATAGTTGATGGATTTAAAATATGATATCTTATACTTGGAGGACCACTTGTGTACTTTACCCAAAAATTAAAATATAATTAAATTTTAAAATAACCCAGAAACTTTCACGTATTGAAACCTTTAATTGTTTCAATCATAGTCGATTAAGCTTTGAATGTGTATGAAGAAAACATAAGCTTCTCTGAACCCGGTCCTTTGTTTGGGTTGGGGCTGAGAGACAGAATGGTACCCCTCTACTCTTATTGCCCCTTTCCTTCAACCAAAGCCCTTCAAATCCCCCCCTCTTTCCTCTTCCTTGGAAACCCAAAATTTCTTCCCTTTACTTTCTCCAGAATCCTTAGACGAGCCTCCATTTCGAGTTTCAATTCCGCCGCCAAACATCAAGAACCGATTAGAACCAGCTATGCTGGCGTTCAACTTGAAGAAACCGTCGATGATACCAAGCTAGGCAAGCTTCGGCTCGATTCTTGGATCTCTTCCCGAATTCAAGGCATCAGCAGAGCTCGAGTTCAGTCCAGTATAAAATCTGGTCTTGTAACAGTCAATGGCCGCGTCGTCGACAAGGTGACTCATTTTTAACGTTTTCTGTTACATTTGGACAATTCTGAGTTTAACTTTTTAAGTTTATAATTAGGTCTCGCATAGCTTGAGAGCTGGAGATAAGGTTAATTGCGTAATTTCGGATTTGCAACCATTGAAAGCAGAACCTGAAGATATCCCATTGGATATAGTTTTCGAGGACGACCATGTTCTTGTTGTTAATAAACCTCCCCATATGGTAATTGAATTTAAGCTTTGAAAAAATTGTTATTGCAAGTCCGCTTTAGACTGTAAAATTCTGACATTTCCCAATGACACTGCTTTGTTTGGTTGAGGTCGTTCATCCAGCACCTGGCAATGCTAATGGGACATTAGTGAATGGAATTCTTCACCATTGTCGTTTACCCACAGTAGCATTGTCCGAAAAGGAAGTTCTTTCACTTTCAGACACAGAGGATGTGTCTGATGATGAAGAAGCTTTTTATAGTGGCACAAGTGCAGCAGCATCTTCTGTTCGGCCAGGGATTGTACATAGACTGGATAAAGGCACTAGTGGATTGCTTGTTGTTGCAAAGGTTAGTCTTTCTTTTCCTTTTTTTTGTTGCTCCAAGTTTAAAAAATTACTTACTTTTATTCAAGTTATGGTTGATATATGGCAGGATGAACATTCACATGCCCATTTGTCAGAACAGTTTAAGCAACATACAATACAGAGGGTGTACATTAGTCTTACTTGTGGAGTGCCTTCAGCTTCTGCCGGGCGTGTGGATGTTCCCATTGGTCGTGATTCAAATAATCGCATCCGGATGGCTGCTGTGCCAGGGTTAAGTCATCATGGACGGACCCGTCATGCTGCTAGTAGGTGATTTATAATCCTCCGTTACGTTGTTTTATCTTGATGATTCAACAAGTACTGAAGAAAGATAAGCGTGGTTCCCTTTTATCAGATATAAAGTAATTGAAGTACTCGCTGGTGGTGGTTCTGCATTGGTTCAGTGGAGATTGGAAACTGGACGTACTCATCAGGTACTGATCTGCATAGAAAGTAAAAAATTTCGAATGCTTATATCCTCTTGAACAAAAACTGATATAATTCGTTCTTCAAAGATATCAGATCAGTATACTTTTCAACTAATGTTCGTAATTTGTTTCTCTGTATGATTGTGAAATAGATTCGTGCCCATGCAAAGTACATAGGAATTCCCTTGTTGGGTGATGAGGTGTACGGAGGGACAAAGAACATGGCCTTGTCACTGCTTCGCCCAAGGACCCCTCCTAAGTATAACGATGAACTTTCACGGCTGGTTTCTAGATTGGATAGGCCGTACCTTCATGCTTTAGTCCTCGGGTTAGGGGATAAAACCTAACTTATTGTTTTGCTGCTGTTTCATAATCATCAGAAAGTAATATCTGCTTCTGCTTATTTGTTTGTAGTTTTGAACATCCACACTCAGGCGAGAAGATGCAGTTTTCATGCCCACCCCCACCGGATTTTAGGGAAATATTGAATAATCTTCAAAGATTTGGCATTGAGAAGGTAAAGTTTCTGGTTGAGAATATAGTTTATCAGGAACCATTTCTAATATATTCGACTTTACCTGCATAAAAATTCAAATGCCAGTTCCTCGTATCATTCGATCTATCTTTTCCGCATGATGTGTTGTGTGCTAACATTAGGTATGCTTAATGCAGTTGAGCTGCGAATATGATTTAAGATGGCAAAGTTTGCCTTAAATATACATTTGGTACCTGAATTAGATTCCCTCTCCCAAGTTGTTATTTTAAGAATTTTTGCTCCTAAACTGATACTTGAATTAGGCACCTTCTCTAAAGTTGGTATCTAAAAATATCTCAAGTTGGTACCCGAACTTTAATTTCATCCACTGTTTTGATACTTCTGTTAACAGTGTCAACTTTTGAAATGACAACATAAGATTGTACCAAAATAGTGGATAAAATTAAAGTTCGGGTACCAAGTTAAAAGCAAAAAAAATTTAGGTATCAACTTGAGACAATTTATAGTTTTGGAAGCTTGCCTTACGAGTATTAAATGTCTGATATGCAGCCTATTTCTGAGGAATAATCAGATTTACTTTGCAACCGGTACTTGCTCTGTAATCCATCATCGAGGCTACATTCTTTTTTTGTACAGGACGAGCCTACAAAACGTTGAAGTTGCACCAGGAGGAATTGCATTTGTTGAATATTGAATGGCTCATAAGTCTTCTTCACCTGTAATTTATCTAATAGTAGGTAAAGTTTAGTTTATCTTCTGTTTTATGAACTATGTACCACATCAGTGTGTTAACAACAAAATAGCATAGAACTTTAATACGTACTTTTGATTAAAACCATCGGACTCACAATAGCTCCAAGGCACTTCTATTTATTATTATTTAACTACTTTACAATCGGCTGTTAATGGGACCTATGAACCACATTCTCTCAACCCAATAGCTTCCACCGGAAAACATGAGAACAATTACTTCCCAACCCAAGAATTAGGTCAAGAGATACAATGCCCCGTCAAAAAGAGAATAATGGACCCGAGTCTGAAGGGCTTGCTTCAATTACACTTCCTCGGCACTGCAAGGTTATATAACATGTACTGATGTACCTTGTCATCCTGTCAAGAAAAAGCAGGCACGGAATCAATTGAACTGGCATACTTCTTATTTACTTGGTTCTCAGCCAAAATGTCTTCGAAGATAAATAAGAACAACCCTTAAAGCCCAGCTTATTACCAAAAAACAACCAAGCGAAACCTACTATGTTTCAGAATGTTGTATTATTGCATGCCATAATATCATTTAAATCTACACCCACCAACCACCAACTCACCTTGACCCTCAGCATATGCAAGGTATTAATACCCAAGCATGTTCCGTATCATTGAAAAAGCTATCTAACTAGTTCAGATATAAATTTCTCTAAATAATGTTTGAATTCTGAGAATGGTCCTTGACCCTTAACTTATACAGGTTACTAGTGCCCAAAAATGTAAGTTCATAAACTTTTCTATAGGAAAAAATAGTTCATGCTGTACACTTATAAGGCCACCGTGTCCATCTAATAAGCTCAATAAAGAGCTGGTTCCAGTCCCACTAAAGCAGAACTAAGTGTATCATATACAGGTGCTACCTCTATACAGCAGCTTAAACCTTGTATTCTTCAACATGAATCCACTTTTTTGAGGACCATTTGTTCCCGGAAATAACAGGGCACCCACCTGGCATCAGCCACAAGAAACACAGATAAACTCATTTATTTTTTTAGCAATAGATAACTAAAAGTTGCTATAAGATAAAATGAAAAATACTTTTTTGAACACGTGTCAGACATTAATGGTAACAAATCGTTTTTTTCCTATGGGAATGCAAAACTGCTTAATTATTCTTGAACCACAATCAAAGATAAAAGCCAAAAAAAAAGGTATGGAAAAGGATTGTAGCAGACCATGCAAACTTGAAGGATCTAGTGTGGCATCAGGCCTCATGCTCCAGAACAGCAATGCATCTACCATCTTTGGCTTCACAGCTAGACCCTGTTTACCACAATCAGACAATTCATTCCACCAAGGCACAGCACTAACATTTCCCTTGGCAGCTGGAAATATTGTCTCACCTCCTTCTTCAACATCTGACCTGCATAAGCAGCGGGAAGTAAGGTAAGAGATACCAAATCCTATTATTTTTCAAATATAGAAAGGTGAAATGAGGAAAGTGGTTCTGTGAAACTTTATTGGCAGTGGAATGCATCATAGACATGTACAGATAAAATTATAAAACTTACAAATACATAAGCACAGTAGCCATTCGCTGGCCTCCATTTTTAGTGTTGAACTCATCAAGGAAGTAATCGAAGTGTGCATCATATTTCTGTCCAGCTTCATAGTAAAGAACCTGAAGGCCTTCTCCATGCTCTGCGTATTACAAAGATAGCTTTAGGACATATCAGTGAAAAAAACAATAAACCACAAAAAAAGGATAGCAATCCACTTAACTGCAAAAAGAAAGAAATACAAACAAAATTAGGACACATGTAACCTGGACATCGTTAGCTGTAATAATATGCTATAGAAAAACAGGTACTAATATTGCATTAGCACATGATCACCACTCAAGTTTAAATTAGACTCATAATTTTTGCACAAAAAAGGTTTAGTTGCTGATTTCAGAGTAAACTACTTACAAACGGTTTCACTATATTTAGAATCTCATACCTACAGGAATGAAGGTGAAGACACCAGATTTTGTCCTGCCAACCGAGGAGTCTTCATGTTACCAACAAAGAAGAGTTGGATTAGGACTCAAATACTAATCTAAAATAGAGTTGGATTAAGACTCAAATACTAGTCTAAAATAGGTTTTTTAGTACTATAAATAAGCCTTGTAATTACCACACCAGGGGGACACGATTATCATACGGGATTATGCACACACAAAAATACCCAAAGCAAATATGCAATAAGCCCCAAAGATTCGCTTGTAATTTTCAACAGAGAAATAAAAGAGGTATTTTTACCTATATTGCTTCGATTCTCGCTTGCATGTTGCTTGTTTCACTTCTTCTTTTCCGTTTTTACTTTGAAAGGGCTGATAAACACAAGGGAACCGAGATCTTTTCTCTTAGATCTACGCTTCCCCGAGGCTTATTTTGAAAAATCGGTTTGATTTTCGGTTAAAAGAGTGAAAGAGCTTTTTAAAAATCTATATTAGTCTCTTTATTTATCATATAGATATTTTTATTATTCATGTTATTATTATACGTATATATATATTTTTTAAATTATTTTCATTTGCTTTTTTAATATATTTTATTATATATATATATATATATATATATTTCTTTAATATTTTACTTATAAGTCTATTATTACTATATATATTGTAATTATCTTTATCTAGTTATATATATTTTTTATACTTTTAATAGTTTATTTATATACCTATTATTAATATATATATATTCTTAATTATTTTTATTTGATTATTTCTTTATTTACGTAATATATCTTATAACTATATATATATATATTATTTATTATTATTTTCATTTTTTATTCATTATTATATATATTTTTAAAATCTTGTGTCTTTATCATTATTATTATTAAACATTATATTATATACTACTAACTTAGAGGGCCCATTTTTTTTATTTCTAACTAAAGTCTCTCCCACTTTCCTCTTTTTGTCTTATTTCTGACTAAAGCCCCCCACTTTCGGTGAAGTGGGAGGGTAGCTTTTCTATTTTTAAATATTTGTTGTATATATATATAGCTTATTTCTTTTATTAATACTTTGATGTATATATATATGTATTTTTTTTCCTTTTTCAAATATTACTATATATAATTATTACTTTAATATTTTTTTCCTTATCTTATTTATTTATTTTATTTATTTTATTTTTCCCTTTTATTTTATTCTCTTTATCTTATTTGTTTTCTTTACCTTGTTTATCTAACACATTTCTCGATTTTTTAAGGATATTTTCAAATCAATCTAAGGTAAGTAATCAGGATCAAATTTTACCTTTTTATTTAAAATTACAATTTTCTTAATTTAAGACAACTGAAAATTATGTGGTACCGAAAGGGCGGTTCAATGGTGTTAATCCTTCCTTGACCGTAACCAACTCCTGAACTCGACACATTTCTGGTACAACTCAGATCAGGTAAAATGGTGTCCGACCCACCTAAATTCGTTTTAAAGTGGTCGGTGGCGACTCCAATCCACATTTTCCTAAGTCGAAGCCCAATTCCGGGGCCCAACCGAAAGACGGTTGCGACAGCTTGACGACTCCACTGGGGACATGTAAGCGAGTCATGCTAAGGTAATTTCTAGTTGTCTTTTTAATGAAAAGGGTAAGTTTAAATTTTAAGGTAACATTTCGATCCTTATTGCTTACTTTTGATTATATTTTTCTGAGTAAATAGTTGACTGATCGTTTTCTAATGATTTCAGCTTCCCGAACTTTTTTCATCTAAAGGCTCTATACCCGAGCTCCGAACCCGTTTTAAGTGGGGGTGAAAGCGACACATTCGTGTGAATTTATTCACCGCATATGCCTAGCAAGTAGCCTTCGGGATTCATATACCTTATGTCTTCGTGTGAATTTATTCTCCGCATAGACATAAGGGAATGTGTCCTCTCGAGTTTAACTTAGTCCACACAAGCCTGTGATGGGTTTAGGACTGAGGGTTTGGTAAGCCCAAGGGGGCGCCAGCAAGGAGAACTCGGGTACTATTTTTAGAACCTAAACCGGGAGACTTTGAAGAAATAGAGCCTACCCCAAAACTACATTCCAAAACCTAGGACATTTCTTTCCTAACCATGTTTTTTTTCCTTATGTTTTTTTTCTTGCCATTTTTTATTCATTTCTATTTGTTTTTATTTTACTAACTGTTTGCCTTTGTATATGTTTTTAGTATTTGCATCATAACAAGAGGTCATTGATCCCTAAAAGGTGTTTGTTACACATAATAATCTGAATTAAGGGATAAATGTGTTGTAATACAAGAGATTAAAAACCCCGAGGTACGACTATGGTCCGAGAAGACTCAGAAGGAAAAGGGAGACAACCTTCAATGAAGCTATGTGTCATAACTGGTTAGCTACGCCTCTATTAGCCTAAAACAGAACGACGTGCAAGAGCTTCGAGACATCTGGGGCAGTTGGAAGAATGATCAGAAACAGAAGTTTAACCAACAGTATGGTGACATTGCACTTTTGCTTCATGTTAAGACCGACGAGCCCTTAATCAGAGCACTGGTTTAATTCTAGAACCCGTGATACAGTTGCTTCACCTTTAACCGGGAGGACATGGTGCCCACCATCGAAGAGTATACTACACTATTGCACTGCGAAAGCATTAGACTAGAGAGGGCATATATCAAACACATCAAGAGTCAGTCTTTCAAGAACGGACTGGCCAAGATTGCAGGAGTTGATGAAAAGTGGGTGAATGATTGACTCTGACACAAAGGTAGCGGGGAAGGAATCGAATGGATCCACATAAAACAACTAATGAAGAACCACCCTGATGAATGGAAGACCATAGATCTTTTTGCATTGGGTCTGTGCGGTTTGATTATCTTTCCGAAGACCTTGGGGTGCATCGACGCAGCCATGGTGGAACTATTTGAACAACTTCCAAGGCGAGTCAACCCAGCACCAACCATCTTAGCCGAGACCTTTCATTCTCTTAATCATTACAGAAGAACTGGTGGAGGAAAGTTCATTGGGTGTGTTCAGCTCCTTCAAGTCTGGATTCACAGCCACTTCTGAAAGACTAACGGGGTTGCTTACCGTCGATTTAACACCACCTATTCACCTTTGGGAGAGTTCATCACTATGAAATGGCATGAAGGTGCTACAAAGGAAAAATGGATGAAGGTCTTCACGCATCTTCAAGACCGAGATATTACCTGGAGAGCCCCCTGGTTGTTCCTCAGTGATGTTCTTTTCAAGTGTGGGAATTATGACACTATGACCCTATTTGGACTTTGGGGTACAGTTAGGTATGCTCCGTTGTTGGCATTTAGACAGTATGGGGCACGTCAGTTTGTCCCAACAACATATGGATTATCTACATTAGAGTTTATGTATCACGATGACAGTTATAAGAAGATGATCAAAGAAGCAGCCAAGTCATGGAAGAAAGTATCCCGGATGGATGTCGTGGCTGCTAGAGATATCTTACTCTGGATTATATGGAGTGGCGAAGATTGAGAAAGAATGATAGCATCCCGATGCCAGACTATGAAGACATCCAGACCATGGAGGAACATCTCAGGCCTGTCCCTTTTGAACTTGAGATAGTCAAGGCAGAGTTTGAAGCTGTGAATAATGAGCTGAAACAGAGAGTTAAGGAACTTGAAGCTGAACGTTATCAATGAAAACTAGGTGTCGATTCTCAGAAAGATAGAGCAGACAAACTGGAAAGAGAACAGAAAAGAGTCCGTTTTGAGCTCGAGGATTTTAGAAAAGGGTATCAGGATAAAGTCAAGGATAACTCCAAGTTGAAAGTAACCTCAGAATACTAGAAAGACGAAGTTCATAGCCTGAAAAGAAAGTTTGAGGGGTCTGATGAAAGAGCTTGGAAAGAACAGTTGAAAACTGCTCAGAGGCACTTAGCAGACAGTCAGTATCAAAACCAATGCTTGAGAATCTAGATGGCTGACCTAGAAAAACAACATGAGAGAGATGATAAAACAATAGCCGAGTTAGAGGCTATCGTATATGGATTCAAGAAGCAAGCAGTCGAACTTCAGATAGTGCCCTTTGACGGAGGTCTGTAGTGGTGTTTCCGTTGGGAGCAAGCACAATAAAGAGTAAAGGCTAGAGACGCAATCATCCGAGATTTCCTAGATCAAGTATCGAAGGCAGTCCGTCATCTTCACGGCCTGGCAAGGGAAGTCAGAGTCGTTCGACAAGGCATTCAACCAGTGACAGATGAAGGCAAACGACTTGTCAACCTACTAGAAGTTGTTCGGGGTCTAGAGGATTTAGTCCAAACATACCTTTGATTGTTTTTATGTCTCTTACAAGATAAAACATTTTTGTCTGAATAAAGGAATATTTATAGTAATGGACACTTTTCTGGATCAATGCCTCTAAATTACATACACCATGCATTACATACTTTGCATTTTTATTTTCATATTTTCCATATTTTTACATTTGTATTAACTAACAAAATATGTCTTCGAAAGGGAAAGAGCAAATACCAAGTTTACCACCGCAAGCATTAAATACGCATCATCCGCACAATACTCGAGCAAAGAAAAGACAAATGGAGACCAGAATGGAGATCATGCAAACATTGGGATAATGTGCCAAAACTAGAAGAGGGTTTGGGAAATTTCTGCAAGGAATGATTAATCTAGTCCTTCCTATTTCAAAGCTAGATTAGTTTGGGCTCGGTTTTCAGCCCAGTTACCATGAAAAGAGAAAGTAAGTTCAGAAGAACCGAGAGAGAAGACTAGCTAGGTTGACTGGAAGTGAACTTCAATGGGAACCCATGACATTCCCGCCTCTTTGCCACACATTCAAGTCAGGTGGTTATGCATTTGAGACCACCTTGTCAGATGTAGAAACGGCTTTGGAAGATCTGAGCATCAATGCCATAACCACTGGAAATGCTGATGACACAGTTAGATCGGGGATATGCCCTCTGCCACCTGGGTTCGTGCCTAGAAGTTGGTCGGTCGAAGAACTACATGTGGTTTTCAAGAGTCTTTCAGAGTAATATTCGAACCATCCCTAT